TGTTTATCCTTGGTCTGAGATCAAGTATGAAAAGTTCAGCCGTCCTAAGAGAGCAAGTGTAATCAGGATTTTAATGGCACCTCTGGATGTAACCATAACTGTAGCAGCATTTGTTACCATGAACACCAATTAGATTTTGCATAATGAGATTATGAAAAATTCTACTGAGTTCAGCGACAATCTGCATAGCTCAAATTGCACTTTAATGCACTCTCCAAACCTCCACTGAAAACCTTTATTGATCTTTTTGCGAGTCACAGACGAGTTTGAGAAATTATAGTTACTCTTTCACTGCTATGTTACAATTCTAGTACAGACAATAATACAAAGTTTGTCAGTCTAAGCTGATGTTAGATAAGGCAGCCAATGTTAATTCATAGCAGCTTTTTTCCAGAACATAACTAAAATTTGCTCTCTTTTTATTATCTCACTGTTATGCACAGCAGCTTAGAATATGAAAGACCGCCTCTAACCTCAGAATTCTTCTAATATGGCACCTTGACAAAAGAGGATAAACTAAGAAAGTGACAGCCTTACAATAGAGTATTTATTTTGTTGTCAAAAGGCATTTGATGCTATCTTTGGACATTTTCTTTATATAACAGGTTTTACGCATGTTCAGGAATCAATTTTAAGTTTATTTCAGACCCTATAACCAGATTTCCCATGTATTTATCTTAAGTACACTATCTAGTAGCATGAACGCTAAACATTACATTTTGACAGTTTCAAAAGGATTCACTCAATTTTTTGAGCCAGTCTGACTGGAAAACACACAATCTAGGGATTGCCTTTATGATGTTTGTCAAAAGCACATGGGGCCCAACCTGGTCCTGAGCTTTAGGCATTTCATACTGTTTTTGTGGTAACCACAATCACCACTTAGTTTTAAGAAGTCAAACATTACTCTACATAGATATACCTCATTTTGCATCAATAAAATAAACAGATGCCACAAAACTACAAAAATATTGTCAGACTATTAGAATATGAAATATTTTATATAAACATCCATAATCTTAAAAGATACGTGAAATTGAGTGATCAGAGAAAATGTTCCCCAAGACACAACATCAAAAATGTTCATGCAACATCCGTCTTGACTTTGTCAGATGGCTCCATATGAGATCAAAAGTTAATTGGATAAATTCAGCTGAGACACAGAACTACAATCCACAGAAAAATAAGTTGATAAATAACCCACCCCATCACCCACAAAAGGATACTATCCGCCACAGTAAGAATACTGACTGCACAATAAAAGGTTTCAGAGTAGCAGCTGTGTTAGTCTGTATCCGCAAAAAGAAAAGGAGGACCTGTGGCACCTTAGAGACTAACAAATTTATTTGAGCATAAGCATTCGTGAGCCATTCCTGAGTACATCCAATGAAGTGAGCTGTAGCTCACAAAAGCTTATGCTCAAATAAATTTGTTAGTCTCTAAGGTGCCACAAGTACTCCTGTTCTTTTTGCACAATAATAGTTGTTCAGAAAAGCAGCAGGAAGCATTGGGGAGAATGAATAAGGAATTCCCTAGACCACTGCTGAAGTTTCTGGATGGGGATGTGAAGAAACAGACACACTGTTTTGTCACATTGTTTCCCCAATATAATTCACAACAGTTAAATAGTCTAATGCAACTCTTATCTTTATTGTCAAATCATGAAAACTTCATTTTCTCCAACTTCTCTTTTCCACTGCCAATGACAGCACATAATTAAGGTGGAAATTCAAAGTCTAGATTAAAAGAACAGGAGTACTAGTGGCACCCTAGAGACTAACAAATTTATTAGAGCATAAGCTTTTGTGGGCTACAGCCCACTTCATCGGATGCACAGAATGGAACATATAGTAAGATAGATAGATATAGATATGCGCGCACACGCACACACAGAGAAGACGGAAGTTGCCATGCAAACTGTAAGAGGCTAATTAATTACGATAAGCTATTATCAGCAGGAGAAAAAAAACCTTTTGTAGTGATAATCAAGATGGCCCATTTAGACAGTTGACAAAGTTTAGGATAGTTAACACGGGGAAATAGATTCAATATGTGTAACGTCCCAGCCACTCCCAGTCTCTATTCAAACCCAAGTTAATGGTATCTAGTTTGCATATTTAAGTTCAGCAGTTTCTCGTTGGAATCTGTTTTTGAAGCTTTTCTGTTGCAAAATTGCCACCCTTAAGTCTTTTACTGAGTGACCAGAGAGGCTGAAGTGTTCTCCTACCGGTTTTTGAATGTTATGATTCCTGATATCAGATTTGTGTCCATTTATTCTTTTGCATAGAGATGGTCCAGTTTGGCCAATGTACATGGCAGAGGAGCCTTGCTAGCACATGATGGCATATATCACATTGGCAGATATGCAGGTGAACGAGCCCCTGATGGCATGGCTAATGCGATTAGGTCCTATGATGGTGTCACTTAAATAAATATGTGGACAGAGTTGGCATCGGGCTTTGTTGGAAGGATAGGTTCTAGATTGTGAGGGGAAGCTTGGGACACTAAGCATCATAGCCATCTCATAAATAGCCCGTGTCAGCCAGATAAAAACAGAAAACAAAAAACCAAAAACTGAACTATTCACCAAACAGGCTTCCTCAGTTTTCTCAAAAAAGAAGGGAAGATGTGTCTGTGTCAGCAACTAGAAAACAGGCTGTAGTAAGGGCTGCATGTGAACATACTGTTAAGAAAACTGTACTTCCCACCTCCCCAACCGCAGTTGGGCCAGCACTGAAGGAGGCACTGAGGGTGATAAGTACCTGTCTACATGAGAGAGGGTGGCTGGGAAGCTGCTCTGGGGAGAAGAGCATGTCTGCCAAAACCTGTGTTTCTAAGCACATCTTTGTATATGAATAAGCTGATATGCCTACAACATGTTTCCCTCCAAGATTGTTTCTGAGGCAATAAAGCATTAAAATCTAAGGATTTAAACACAAGTTATGAGTATTTTGTTTTTTCCTGTTTTTTTCCCCAACATAAATGCTTATCAGTCAAAAGTATCTCTCTTTCAATAAATTCTTTAACAACTATATGAGCCCCTACCTAATTGGATTGTGCATCTGTTTATCCATGTTCAGGAACTGACTCCATTTGACTGACAAGAGGCTGTGCTGGAAAGATATTGCACACATGCTGAAAACTAAAATAGAAGCTTTTGCTTCAAGTAAAAGAAATGGAAAATAATTTAATTTAAAAAGTACTTCTACTAATAAAATGTTCTTTACAAGAACCAAATTTAATTTTTATAAGTTTTATTTATGTACTGAAAAGCATAAGTCAAGTGACTAACCTATTAAATACTAATCAGGTTTTTAAAATAATAAAGAATGTGCAAGATGTGGTAAAAGTGCACATATGAAAAGAATCAACTTTTAAAAAATTTAACAAGCACATTAAGTTATATATCGCATCACATGATCCAAGCTTCCTTCTGAAACATATGAACTACTATGGTATCCATAAAAAAGCACCCTCTTTTAAAACCATCAGGTGCAACTTCTATAAAAGTGAGCATCACAGAAGAGTCTGAAATGATATCAGAGAGCTGAAGTACTGCAACAGGAAGGCTTACAAAGGTATTAATCACAGTGTGCAAAGTAAAAAAACAATAACAAAAGAAAAGTGGATAAACAACTGATCTCTCACCCAAAGCCAATTTTTTCTGTTTTTTTGCAACCTCATATAGGAAATTACTAAATCTCATTAAATTTAACCTTGTAAAACAAAACTTTCAAACCGACAAGAAGTCGCACAGTATTTACTCACACAGGACACAACCTAAGGTCCATCAAGTCAATGGAGACACTCACATACTTTAATGAGCACTGGATCAGCCCCAGAATCTCATGCAAAATGCTTTCAAATGTCTAAATACATATTTTTGATTAAACTTTTGCTTTAGAGTCTATATATTCCCAATTTTGTAATTATAAACAGTAATTTTTAAGTGTTTCACTGGATCCAAACTATGTTGGATCTAGTGGTCAGCACTAACGCTTTAGGACAACTAATCACTTTAGGACCAATTTGGGAAGTTACAAATGGGAGGAAAGAAATTGCTGCATGAAGTCCTTACATGTGCAAATTTTAAGTGTTTTTTAAAAGCAAAGCGATATCAGCTGTTTACTATGGCTTATCTTTCTAATGGGACGCTATCAAGTTAAAAATTGTACATTACATGAAATTCCTTACTGATGTCTTACACCTTAAATTATTAATAGTTGAAGATGTACTTTACCTTGCATCAGTTATGTGGTTTTAACTTTTTGTATTTCACTCAAATAATGAAACTGGACAAGTCAACTTCATTTCAATATAACAAACAAAAAATTTGTTCAGGTTTGCAACACTGCAGGGTTATATAACAAAAGAAACAGGGCTTCCAGTTTTAAATGACTGCATAAACCTATTTGTTTTTAGAATCTGTGCTTTAAAATCCTCCCAAGATAATATCAGCCTAAATAAAGTTATGCCTACATTTTCTCAGTTGTCTGCTGTACGTATATGTTGACTCTTGTGCATCCTTTGATTAAAAATGAATAAACAGACTCCACAAAATATCAGACCTAAAATATTCTCATTTTCTAGTCAAACTTTAATGCTTTAATGTAAACAAACTTTGTGGTTATTTTTGTACAGTGAAACTGGAAATTGGAAGTCTAAAAGTTCACACAGTAAGATTTTGAATTAATTCTTTTTTCTTTAAATAAATTTAGTACAAAAATCTAGGCCTTCTCTCGCACAGGACCATTTTTATGTTTAAACCCCTCATACTGCAGTGTTTCCCAAGCCAAAGATATTAACTTCAAGGTGAGATGGGTCTAAATAAGGAGATTAGGATCATGATCTAGGTGGTTATACTTTATGTAACAGTTAAAATTTTCATAAATATCTGCAAGTAAGCACACTTTTGAAGTGATAAGAACATTAAAGAATTGGAGCTGTACCCAAAATGAAATGAATTTATTCTCAAAGGTATAGGGCACGTTTCTCTTTACCTGAAAGTTAACATCTTCTTTCTTAAATATTAATGCTCGAACTTCATCAGGGTCCCCATTAAATATAGCTTGAACCAGCAGTGGCTGAAACAAAAGAAAGTAGTAGTATTTAAAAAACAAACATTACATTCCATGCATTACTTCTACATGCATTTTTTTTTTATGACAACATAATGGTCATATACCAAATCAAGATTAAGGAAGGTGTTCCAGGTAGCAAAATGAAAAAAACAAACTATTACAAAATTTGGCCTGAAGGAAGTCAATTAACTGCCTTTCCCTCCCTCCCCACCCCCAATATACTTTACAAACTTGTACACAAACTAAAGAACCGCTGGATTTAAAAAAAAGGTTTATAAATTTTTCTAGGTTTTTAACGAATGGTTAAAAAAAAGACTACTAAAATAAATTCCCGTGGCAAAGTAAGATCAATTAGTCTAGGATACATTATATACTATTCAAAATATATGTAAAACTCATTTTACATTAGTAAATTAGTAAAATTAAAAGTTCTCGTGTTTGGATAAGAATAAGGAAGCAAGAGTATATTTGAATTATATGGAAACAAATACACACGTACACACAGGCATTACTAAATATAACTAGATTTCCTAATCAGCATCACAAACTTCTGAGATATATCATGATCTAAGTCAAACCTCAAAATTACATGACAAAGAAGAATAATTTTGTTTTCAAGAAAGCAAATTTCTTCAATGCTTCTGGTAAGTGATAACATGAATGCACAGCTACATTACATCTATAATCTGACTTTCATAACTTTTTATTTTAGTGTGCAACTGATATTCTTAAGATACCCTGGATACGATACCAATTCTCAAAATACACACAGCTTATTATTGCATTATAAAGGTTACATCAGTTTCTAAAGTGGTACTGAACAGATAAAACAACAACAAGCAGGAAAGCAAATATTTACTGCAAATGTAATTTCGTCAAGCTCTCTGGAAAAACTGTGCTATCATAAAACTAACTACAAAGTTGAGATTTCTTAACTCTGCTTCAAAAATATCGTTACACACAAAAAAGGGAGCCCTTACAAGTTTTAATTCCATCCCTAAGTTTTAAATATCATGGTGCTTAACATAGGTGATTTTGACTTCACTAAAGAACTATTCGTTCAACACAAAGGTTTCAGAGTAGCAGCGTGTTAGTCTGTATTTGCAAAAAGAAAAGGAGTACTTGTGGCACCTTAGAAACTAACCAATTTATCTGAGCATAAGCTTTCGTGAGCTACAGCTCACTTCATCGGATGCTTATGCTCAAATAAACTGGTTAGTCTCTAAGGTGCCACAAGTATTCAACACAAAGTAACCCAGGTGCTACTTTGCTTAGTCATGTAAATCCTATGATAAGATAATCACTAGACCTTTGCAGCACTATTGCAGAGGACATATCTTACCAACACATTTCCAGAAGGTGAAGGACGTACAGATGTATTTTCCTGAGGTAGTTTGGAAAAAAATGTGGGAGAATCATCTTCAACCTCCTCCAAAACAACAATACACACTCGACTCATTCGATCCGTTTGAAAAAACTGTATTCAGAACAACACTGTAGTAACCACAGCTGAGACAGCACAGAAAGTACTTTTACCTCCCGAGTATACACTCACAAACATAACTTCTTAACACTATTGCTGGTGTTTTAAAATTTAAAAAAGGACTTTTTCCCCCACTATATTTCATTTAAGATGTTCAAACAATGCTATTTTAAAAAAATATATACTTTAAAAACAAGGTTTCATTCACCTGTACTACAACACTGAATTTGTGAAAAATGTATTAAAAATATTCTCCACACTAACTAGGTTAGAATAGAAATGTCAATATCGTAAATATCTATAGTATGTCCTTTTACTAGAAAATCTGCCTGTTAATATTGCTATTTCTACAGAATAACTTTATCCACACAGTGAAATCACTGTTGTAGGTGACATGACACCATTCTGTATAGAATGAAACAAGGAACAATTGCTCTGACAGAGATGATCACAGCTATAGCCTGTCTTGCAAGGTCAGTCTCCAATTTACTGTACTAGGCTTTCTGATGACTGAAAATAAACACCACTGCCCTAAATGTTTCAGGATCTTATTCTGCAATTTTGGAACTTCATTTGTCTTAATGTCAGGAATACTTCACACAATCTATTTTTCAGCAAGGATTCACAACATGATACTCCAAGATTGACAATTCTTCCCTATGTAATAAAAATCTCCGCAATGTACAGCAGAGCTGCAGTACATTTACATGCAATGAGTCAGACCACAAGGGACAATGGGACTCCCGGAATAATAAGATTGCCTGTTTAATCCAGATTTCCCAAGTGACAGAAACGTAGATAGTTTTACTCCATCAATGATACCAGCAATGTAGAGCATTCATTTTTCCTCCATCAGGCAATTGATGTGCTGCTCCAACAGGGAACCCACTATGCAGAAATGCTGTTAAGGAAGAATGTTTCCGTAAAACAAGCAAGCTACTAAGGCACGAAGAGCTCAAATTACTGCCTTAGACTTTTCCTGCATCAGCAGTTCATCACGCAAGTGTTTCTTTTGATCACCATGTGAATATAGCTTCCGTTGTAGTGTTCATTCAGACTGTGGAAAAAAATGAGACTCTGTGCATCTTCTTTGAGCCAACTTCTTTATGCGAATGGCTGTCTCTGTGCCAACCTGATTTTCCTCCAGGGTTAAATACTATATATCAATTTTCTGTCGCTGATTTTTAGATTGTGTGTTCATTCAATAGATGGTCTTGCAAAGCTTTGAAATCCTACTGCCTGAATTGGTCATTAGAGAACATATTAACAGAGCACAGTTCACATCCACAGCAGCATTCGAACTGAGCAATAGGCTAAAGAGCACAGACTGCAGACCCGCAGCATGAAATGCCTAGTAATGCTCACATGTTACACTTACCAGAGAACTGAGCTTCTGCTCTGGATGCAACTTCCTCTCGCAAAAAATAAATAAATAAATAGTGCCTTTTGGGCAGCCATCACAGTTTGAATGTTTGTGCCAGTTTTGTGACTAATTCGGCTCACACGTAAAAATTCTATAATTGAAGAAAGAGCGAGTGTTTAACTTTTTCCACTAAAAGCCACAAAGAAATCTGGTGTACTGGCTCTGCTGACTGACAATTTAGGCAAGTAAACAATTCCAACATTCTAACTGCTTTCACATGTTACTGTATAGAACAACAGAGCAGTCCTCATTTAACTCTCTGAAGACAGAGTATTTTAAACAGAAATCCCCTAAAAACTAAGATATAAAACTAGCTTTTAATGGTCAGTTACTTTAAAAAGATAAACTAACCATTGGTTTCAGAGTAACAGCTGTGTTAGTCTGTATTCACAAAAAGAAAAGGAGTACTTGTGGCACCTTAGAGACTAACCAATTTGAGCATAAGCTTTCGTGAGCTACAGCTCACTTCATCGGATGCATACTGTGGAAACTGCAGAAGACATTATATACACAAAGACCATAAAACAATACCTCCTCCCACCCCACTCTCCTACCATAAACACTACTTTTGCTACTAAACACACACACACACACAATACAGAAGTTTGAAAAATGACTCCAAGCATAACATAGCCTTCATTAATCTCATATTCCAACAAACTGAATTTATATTTTGACCTAAATTTGCTTAAAGTAACTGTGCTGGTCTGTGGGCGTATTATGCAACTGTATCATGTGCCATAAACTGTTGGAAATGCTTCAGTGTTAAGCAAACGGTGTTTTTTTGTTCCTACTAGACAATATAAAGATTTTTTGATGGCTGTCAATCACTGATCAATTCACAATATATAAAAGGAGAACAGGTTGAATGATCTAGGAGACTGAGCAACAAAATGGCAGATGAAATTGGATGTTGAAAATGCAAAGCAATGCACAGTGGAAAACAAAATCCAAAATGATGGGGTCTAAGCTAGCTGTTAACACTCAAGAAAGATCTTGAAGTCATCATCAATAGTTCTCTGAAAACATCAGCTCAACGTGCAGCAGCAGTCAAAAAAGCTAAGAGAATATTAGGGACCATTAGGAAACAGAAAATATCATAATGCCACTATATAAATCCCTGGTACACCCACATCTTGAATACCACATATATTCAAGTTCTGATTGCCCTATCTCTAAAATGATATATTAGAAATGGAAAAAGTACAGAGAAGAGCAACAAAAATGATTAAGGTTATGGAATAGCTTCCATATGAGGAGAGATTAAAAAGATTCAGATTGTTCAGCTTGGAAAAATGATGACTAAGGAGGGATATGAAACATCTATAAAATCATAGATCGTATGGAGAAAGTGAATAAGGAAGCGTTATTTACCCCATTCACGTAACACAAGAATCAGGGGTCACCCAATTAATTTAACAGGCAGCAGGTTTAAAACAAACGTAAGGGAGCACTTCACACAATGCAGTCAACCTATGGAACTCACTGCCGGGATCGATTGTGAAGGTCAAAAATATAACCGGGTTCAAAAAAAGAATTAGGTAAGTTCCTGGAAGATAGGTCCATCTATGGCTATTAGCCCAGGTGATCAGGGATGAACCCACATGCTTTGGGTGTCCCTAAGGACTCTGACTGTTAGATGCAGGGAATGGACGACAGGGGATGGATCACTTGGTGATTGCCCTCTTCTGTTCTTTCCCTTTGAAGCATCTGGCATTCGTCACTGCCAGAAGCAGGATACTGGGCTACATGGATCATTAGTCTGACACAGTACGGCCATTCTTATGTTCTTATCTGATGCCTCTTAATTAAAGTATTCTTACTCTGAAGTCCTATGTACCAGTCCAGGACAAGAAAAAGAAAGAAAACCAGTCTCAGGTGTTTTAACTGCTTTAGATATTAACAGATGTGATTTTTCAAAAGGTTAAGAATCAAAGTTATTCCTGCTATCAGCACTGCCATTCCAAACCACTGTAGATATTTTAAAATCATATGCCCACCCTTCAGTAGTTTCACCACACTATATCAAAACGTGTTAAACAATTGCTAACACTTCCTGGAAAAAATCTGAGGTGGGGAGGAGAGGGAGGGAGCATATTTTAAAGTATTTTTGTAGATTATGTAGTCTATTGGTTAGAGGTCAGGACTGGCAGAATTTAACCCAGATGTCTTGTTCACTGTGTGACTCTGTGGCAATATATAAACTCTGTACCTAAATTTTCTTATTTCTAGCATTTGAATAATAATGCTTTCCCACCTTTGTAAAGCCTTTTTTATTTCTCTATATAGTTAGTTATTATAATTCCATACAAGATCTTTGGGAAAGTTACAACTAAGGACATTTTAATAAAAGGAAGGATTGTGTGTTCTATCAAGCTTATCTATTTCACTTGTCTGTCTACATGGTGGTGGGAGGGGTCACAACTATCCACAGAATGCAGGATGACAGAGGATTTAAAGAACAAGGCTCAGGTAAATTTCATACAGATGTTCTTTAAGAACCAGGGAAGAGACAGAAAATGTAAACAGTAAAATTATTTCTACATGTAACAAAGATTTCCATGGGATGTCAGCAGCTCTTCCAAGATACGATACCCACTGAAACGTTTTCTGATACACTGCATATATGAAAAATATTTGCCTTCCATTTATGAATACTCTTCAGAAATTGACAATAGCTTGCATATGTGACCAAAAATAACCTTAGAAAAAATCAAACTTCTAGATACTGTAAAGTAGCTCTCCCACCCCACCAATGTACTGTTTTGGCGGATGGATACAAGTCAGAGGTTGGTAGTAGTCAATATCAAGGAATGTTTTTCTCCTTTCTTCCCACCTTCATTATGAGACTAACTAGCCATTAGTTTACTGGGTCCATATGTTGTGTGGAAATAAGAAGTCTTCAAAGATATACAAATATTTAAGGAGAAATATGAAGAAAAAAGTTAAGTATTGTTTTATTGCAAATTACAATTATAATTTGATATGCTAGCTAGATGCTTTCACTGTGATTTGGGAATTCCCTACTTATTATCTTTGCAATTCATGACCTATCTAGCTATGTGAAGAATCCAACAAGATGTCCAATGAATATATTTACTATAAGGAATATAACGCTTCATACTTACAACAAAAAAGTGGAAGATTGGGCACAGTGATTTAACTATAATTACAGAAGAGATTAATAAAACACATCTGGATAAGTTCTGACACTTATTTTGGAAATTTTGCCCATAAAATATTTATGTAAAGTTGGTATGGCAATTCACCATATTTTTTTCTTGTACACATTTACTGTAACTTAATTTTTAGAATAGAAGTGTTACCATGTTCATACTGGAAAGAGTTAAAATGCAATTACATCACATCTAGCCACAACTTTGTTTAAATAAAAAAATCAATATTGTACTAATTTCAGTGGCTATTTAACCCATATACCTAAGGGGTCAAAAACACCACAAATCTGCCATTTAACAACTACACCACCACACATAGGGAACAATGAACACCCCAAGAACATTTTGACTTTTTCTTATATTGAACCAGCAGCATAATTGTTGTTTTATATCCTTCTTAAGATATCTGATCTGGACTGAAAATACAAATGGATTGAGTGAATGCCTAATAAATTACAATATACCAGAGTGGGTCAATCTGAATACTAAAACATAATAGTAATTTGTTCTTGTTTTTTAAACAAAATTCTTATTTTTGATTCAAATAATTTCTTAAGTAATTTCAAATGTACTCTAAACCAATCTACTCATTTTGAAATTTAAAATGGGCTGCAGAGGGATCCCTTTGCTGTACAAATACCTAGGAAATACCACTGTTACATTACAAAGTCTACTCTGAGTACTAGATGCATAAGTTTATATTCCTATAAAAACAAAAACAAAAGATCAAGACTTTAACCCTTAGCCTCTCTGCATGTTTTCCAGGCCTGGTGGGAACGAACTGGATACACAAATTCAAGTTGTTTTTTTTCCTCATTAAAAAGTAGTAAAGTGTATTATGGTGGTGCTGCAGTAATAACAGACTGGAAGACTTCTCTATTTGGACTCTGAACTTTCTTCAAGAGGGAGAAGCAGCGCATTCCTGAACTGACTTAGGAAAGGGGCTACCAACATTACAGTGCAACCACCACCTTCCTCTATTTCTCAGGCAATTATTAATTGCCCTATAAGAAAGCAGGGCTTTTCAACTTACCACTCAGAGTGAGTGCTGCAATGGTAGGATATCAACACTGAAGCACGTTGTATTTTAGGAGGATAATTGGCTACAGCAATGGTCTATGTGGTATCCTCTCGCTAACGAAATAAAATCAGGTAGATAGTTTAGTCACAGTTTCTTCTGAATAGTGGTAGAGTTTCA